GATGGAAATCTCGGTGCATTATCATTAATGTCTTGAATATCGACTTCAACTCGAAAAAGTTGTAGCGGGTCTTCAATAACAACCTGCAGAGGTAACACACAGCTGGCGCTTTGTCCGCATAAAGCCTCTCTGTCTATTCTGTCATTCACCACCAGCTCGCCCTTCCCCGCATCCACGCTGAAATACTGCTCGCCAGCCTCGGAGGCAACGTGCAGCTTACGGTCAAAAATTTCAGATACTCCTAAACCCAGATCTTTGGCAAGATTTCCTACCACAGAGCCCTGTTTTAGCTCTTCTGTGATGCTGTAACGAGTTTGTCCGTCTATTGTACTCCACAAGAGAAAGAAATGATGCCACCAAAGAGCCAGCCATCTCCAGTTTCGACATCCCTTTCTCTTTGTCATCCTTGGTCCGTTATAAAAGATTAATTCCAATTGACATAATGCACTGAAAAATTCTGAAATCCATCATCGCAGGTATGATTCCCATAGAACCATTCCCACATATTATTGAGGATACATATAAAACCGTAACATTATAAAAAATGAGCGCATTACTCCTTCAGTCCTCTGCCTCTCTTCATTGTAAGTGTTCGAGTACCGAGAATGAATGGGGGCAGGGACTAGATTGCTTTGTACAGTTCTGAATCCTATTGGTGCGCATCATCCACCTCTGTCATCCAATAAGAAGGAAACCGATCGACACTCTTAAACTCACAGCATCTGTTCTCTCTCTCTGTTTGGATTCACTTTGATCACAGGCAATAATCACGAATTACTGGACTTTACAGAATGTAAAACAAGCATGCGATATCGTCAATGAATGAATAAATGGATGAATGACTGGATGTAAGAATGAAAAAAACAAAGCCAGTCTTATAAACTTAATATAAGAATAACATTTCCCCCCACAATAACCTAATTAATTAATCCCATAAAATTATTTAGAGAAAGACATTTATTCGATAGACATCCCATGTAACTGCATTCTTTTTTTTAAACAGAGCATGTATTACAGTAAGAGTCGCTGTCCACCTTCGTGGTTCTGAACTATTTGGAAGTGCCTTTGTGCACTGTTCCAGGTTTATTGAAA